CTTTCTATCTCTCTCAAATCCACATGCTGTACTATCCTTAAAGCAGCAGGCCTGACAATGGTTCTAACAACATTTCTTTCTTTTTTTCTCTTTTTATCTTTGCCTGCACTGAGTCTTCGTTGCCGCGTGCATTTTTTCTCTAGTTGTGGAGAGTGGGAGCTACTCTCTAGTTGCAGTGCGTGGGCTCCTCATTGCGGTGGCTTCTCCATTTGCAGGACTCTAGGGTGCTCAGGTGGGGAAGGCAGTGGCACCCACTCCAGTACTCTTGCCTGGAAAATCCCATGGACGGAGGAGCCTGGTAGGCTGCAGTCCATCGGGTTGCTAGGAGTTGGACACGATCGAGCGACTTCACTTTCACTTTTCACTTTCACGCATCGGAGAAGGAAATGGCAACCCACTCCAGTGTTCTTGCCTGGAGAATCCCAGGGACGGGGGAGCCCGGTGGGCTGCCGTCTATGGGGTCGCACAGGGTCGGACACGACTGATGTGACTTAGCAGCAGCAGCAGATGGGTGCTCAGGCTTCAGTAGTTGTGGCTCTGGGGCTCAGTAGTTACGGCTCGTGGGCTCTAGAGTGTGGGCTCAGTAGCTGTGACCCACAGGCTTAGTTGCCACATTCTGGGGCATGTGGGGTCTTAGATTCCTCACCAGGGATCGAACCCCGGTTGCCTGCAATGGCAGGCAGATTCTTAATCACTGGACCACCAGAGAAGTCCCTCTAACAACTTTTATCGATGCTTTGTTCTTCCTGGGATGCTGCAACCTCTCAGGAGTTGTGCTGAGGGAAGGCTCCTTGGAAATGTCCAGAGGGGGGCTTCCCACCCTCTTCCTGGGCTGGTGAATCAGGTGAGAGCTACCTTGGGAGGAGATGATCATCAACCAGGTTGCTAAGAGCAAGTCAGTTGGGGAAAGAGTGTTCAAGGAAGACCATGGTGGGATATCTTGGGAAAGAGAAGCCTTTTTAGTTGGAAGATATTACCTTTTATCAAATTCAAAACAAGAGCCCAGATGTAATGAACATCACTTCTGTGAGTGCAACTAGGAGTGAAGGAATGAAGGCACCTGGGAGTTAGGCTGAGAACAATGAGTAAATGCCCGTGGGGCCCTTCTTGAGAGTGCCCACACGTTAAACAAGGCGTGCACGGCCGCTTCAAGAAGCCACCAGTCTGAACCCCTGCTGTCTTGCTTATGCCAGTCCTACGTCTGGGACGCCATTGTCCCTCTTCTATGCCTTTTCAAGTCCTAATCACTTGTTCACACTCAACTCCAATCCCCATCTTCATGAAGTTCCTTTCTAATCACCCTCATCTGGAAGTGATTTCTTCTTTCTCAGAATCCAGCAAACTCCAGCGCTCACTGCCCTTCCTCTGTCCTTGTCAAGCTGCACTTATTTTCTGGTGTTTAAGCCTTGCCTTCTAGAATGGACTCTGTGTGAAGGCGGCCACCGTGTCTGATACCTCTTGGGGTCTCCCAGCATCTCTCCTGGGGGCCCAGTCCAGAGCTGTATATAGTAGGTGTTGATTGATGAATGAGTAATGGACGCCAATACACAGGCATTCTTTCTCAGCCGTCGTCTTCCAAAAAAAGGACGGGCCTGTTTCCCTGGGATGAATGACAAGGCAAAGCAGACAGTTGGTCAGTCAGGGACTTGTCCCCTTGGAGCAAGCTGGGCTGTTGCTGGGTTTAATTTAGGCTGCTCTGCCCTTCATGCTTTGAAAGGACTTTCCCACGACAGACTGGGGACCTGGCCTTCTGTGCCATTAGCACCACTTCGGAGAGATGAGTAGGAAGGATGCTGTTGGGGGTGCCGGCCTCTGACCTGGTTCCGCTTCTGTGCGGGGCTGAAGCTTTTTGCAGCCTTGATGTTTGCCGTTTCATTCCCAGCTGATCAGCTGGAGCAAGCCCGTGGAGCACGGGCTCTGGGCTTCGGCACGGGGGTGGGGGGATGCACCCATGGGCGTGTGGACCCAGACTGGGCGTACGTGACTAAAAATATGGAGGCAATAGCTCACTGCAGGCCGGGAGGTTGCACGTCTGATTGAGTTTCTGTGGATTGTGTGTTCACATCTCCAGCGTTGCAGGACTCACAATGGGGCGTGCTTATTTGCAGGTGTGTGCATGTGTGTGTGTGTGGGGGGGGGTGCTCTTCCATCTGAGCCTCTGCCTTGCTAACTGTGTACATCAGTGCCGCCTGCCTTCACGGGTGGATGGCTAGGCAAAGAATGTGAGCCTTTCTCCAACTGGTTCCCAAGAACTGATGGATCCCTGTTGTCCCCAGACCCTGACCTCGGCACGATGTGAAATAGATCCTGATTGATTCGCTAGCTCCTCCTTCTTCCGGAGTTGGGGATGAAGAAATGGAGGAAGCCCACAGTGCCCTTAGCAAGGACTCTTTTCCTTGATCATGTCATTTCTTTGGTATTTTGTGGTTCTGATCAGGCTTTGAGAGCCATGGAAGCCCTGAACCTTGAGTGTCCGTGGCACCATTTGAAATATTTTATTTCCTTTTGCAAAGGAAATAAAAAGGTTCTTCCCCACTACTGGAAGAGGAAGGCATTTAACTCTCCTCCCAATCCTGGCCACACCTCCTGCCTCCCTGTGCCCGAGTCTGTCCCCCAAGGGCTCCTATGAAAATGCTGTTTTGTGGGAGGCTGGGGTACCTAAGGAAGCTGGGGTGATCCTCTCTCCTTGAGAAGCCCTGAACCTTGGCAGGGGGATAGATGCTTTTTAGCCAAAGGAAAGATGGATGCTTTTTAGAAATCCAGGGCTGTCTTCCACAGATCGCCCCCCCCCCCCCGCCCCACCCCCAGGAGAGAGCTGACATTCCCAGCACTGTTTACATTCTTTTCCTTCTTGTCTTCCCGTCCCCTACACTTTCTAGGTCCTCCTCCTCGCTTTGGGCTGGCAGAGAGACTGTGCCCCTAGAGACAAAGCCACCTTCCTGCTTGGGGGATGGAGTGGGGATGCCCAACCTCACCCGGGTTTGTCAGAATGCCACCAGCTCCGAATTTCACCCTTCCTTCACCCATTCTTCTTCTACACCCTCCAGCACCCCTGGATTAACCTTTTCATCTCCTTCCAGGAACCAGGAAGCAACCCAGATTCCAGGAAGCGGAGGTCAATGCTAACGGCTGGCCCCCAGTCTCCAGCCCACCCTTCACCTCTACCTCTCTGCCCTCAGCTCCCAAACCCTGTCCAACGGAGAAGGTGGAACAAGCTGCCCGCCAAGGCCAGAGGAGAGAGCCAGGCTGGTCATTTCCTTTGTGACCCCGGACAGTCTCCTACTAAATCCCAACAGTGCAATTTGTAAAGGAGACAGGACCACCCCAGCCTCCTTCTGCTGCCCGCCTCCCGCAGAGCATCCAAGAAGCAGCATTTTCACAGGAGCCCAGGAACCCTGGGGGCCGGGGTGGGGGTGGGGCAGACTCAGGCCCTGGGAGGCAGGAGGTGTGGCCATGATTGGGAGGAAAGAGAGTTAAATGCCTTTGTCTTTCTAGTAGTGAGGGAAGAACCTGTCTGTTGGGGGGGGTGGGGACGCGGAGCTGAGGTCCAGCAGGCTGTCCTTAATGGTACTACCTTGGTTTCCCCAAGGGATGCTTTCTTTCCCTTCACCACGGGACAAAGCTGCCCTGCCTGATGTCTGTGTCCAAAACTGCCCGTCAAACACTGGTAGTGCTGCTTCCACGGAACGAAGTGAACCCCAACTTTCTCAATGGGATGGGAGTTCCTGCCAGCGGCTTGGACTGGGCCTAATCACCTTTGTATCAGTTCAGTCGTTCAGTCATGTCTGACTCTCCTTTGTGACCCCATGCACTATACCAGCCAGGCTTCCCTGTCCATCACCAACTCCTGCAGCCTACTTAAACTCAAGTCCATCACGTCAGTGATGTCATCCAGCCACCTCATCCTCTGTTGCCCCTTCTCCTCCCGCCTTCAATCTTTCCCAGCATCAGGATCTTTTCCAATGAGTCGGTTCTTTGCATCAGGTGGCCATGTGGGGACTGGCAGAGAGAAAAGTGCCCAGTGAGCCCCAGGCTGCTGCACCCCCCACCAGCAGGGTCCCCGTGGCAGCTCTGAGGCTGTCTCCTCTTCCTCCTCCTGTTGCAGCAAAATGCCTTCTCTCCCCTTGGGATTGAAAAAGAAAAGTGCCATTTCCCTATTAAAAACGAGAAACATTTTCCCCTTGCCATAGCTTCCCTGCTGGCACCCAGACCTTGACCGCCCCCAGACGGGGGTCTTTCCCGATGGGCTTTGGCCACCCCAGAGCCTTTGTGAGGCTCAGCTTCCTTCCTCTTTCCAGATGGGAAGGAAAGCTCCAGGCTCTGTCTGAACTGGAGGGTCTCATACTCGAGGCATGGGTTTCCCTGTTGGGGAAGAAGCCATCCCCTTGTTCTGCTCCCTGTCCTTCCAAGCACTAGCCACCTTTGACTCAGCACCTGTTCCCGGAGGCAAAGTATGGGCTGATGTGACAGAAAGGCCAGAGAATGTGCAGCTCGAGGACCAGGCTTTGTCCGAGCTTTCCCTTTCGGGGCCAGGGACAGAAGAAACCACGGATCCAAGCAGCACAGCTGATCTGCCCTCTTCCTGGTCAGAGAAGTGGGCTGCACCGAAGTAAGCCAGTCTCCAGGGTGAGTGCAGGATCTGGGGGCTGCTGGCTACCCTCTCCTGCTCCCTCCCTCCCTCACCCTCCCGACCCTACCTGGGATGCCCGAGTGAACCTTTCCTGTGTGATCTCGGTCCGGCCTCAGTTTCCCCTCTGGACCTCAGCTTTTTCTTTTTCTTTTTATAGTTTTTGGCCATGCCCCGTGACATGTGGGATCTTAGTCCCCCAACCAGGGAGCAAACCCTCGCCCCCTGCAGTGGAATCGAAGACTCTTAACTGCTGAACTACCCGGGAAGTCCCTCAGGCTGCAACTTTTTCATTCTTTCCAATGTTGGTGTTGGATTGGATCTTTCAGGCCTTAACTTTTATTTATTTGTTTTTATTTTTTATTTTTTTCAGGCCCTAACTTTTAGCTCTTCTTCGGTGCCACCATCATCCTACCCTCCCGGACTGATTGTGACCGAAGGAGAAGCAAAGATTAGAAAGTCAGCTGTTCAGAAGTCACACCTACACATGATGTTTGAAGAGAGACAGGGCAGAGAGGGGAAAGCTTGAACACAGGTAGTATTGGAGAAAGCACAAGGCTCAGTCTCCTGAGCTAGGTTCCTACAAACACGCGCACAGACACACACGTACGCGGACCCAGCTGTGGTGCTCAGGGGATCGACCACAAGCTACAATCAACAAGGGTAGGAGAGCACGTCCTGCTATTAGAACTTCTGCCCACAGGGCAAGGCGGCGGCTGCCTCTTCTGCTGACCACCTTCTCCAAATCACAGACCATCACACAAGGGGCCCCTGACGTGATAGGATGACCTGTTGCATCCTTGGAGCCCCCAGTACAGAAACAGGAGAGGCCTGACCTCAGTAGCTTCAGAGGCCCACATTCCCAGTCTGCCTCCAAGGGCACAGGACAAAGGTCATCTGGGGGCCCAGGGCCAGGGTAAACTCTCACTGGGCAATGCATGCTTCTGTCCACAGTTGGATGACCCCTATAGACTGGGCAGCCTAACTCCCCTGTGGCCAGCAATTAGGATGACTTCCCGGCAGTGGGTCACTTGCCTCCCACCCTTGGCAGGCCATCAGAAACACTGGCATGAGGGTAAATGGGTACATGGCCTGGAGAGGGAAATTTGGCCATATCTTTTAAATTTGCAAATGTGTATACTGCATGATACAGTGATTCTACAGGAATTTATTCTACAAATACACTTACACACGTGTGAAATGACAAGATTACAAGTGATGTGCTGCAACGTTACCTATTAGGAACAATTGGAAGTCAATGAGATGTCTATCAGTAGCTGTTTGGTTTCATAGATTATGGTATATCCCCACAAAGGAATACTGAAAATGGGAGGCTTTTGCGCGTTATTATGAAAGAATTATGGATATATACTGTTAACATTAGCAAGGTTCAGGACAGTGGGTATATTTTCCTACTATTTGGGTCGAAAAGAAAGGAAAATAGAGGACAAAGACACATATATTTTTCATCGACCTTATGTAAAATATTAGCAGAAAAATAAACAGGAGACTAACGGTGGCTACTATTAGGGAGTTGAAAACTGAGATGAAGGCAATTTTCTAGTATATGATTTTGTGTATTTTGATGGCTGAATAATGTGAATGTATTACGGATTCAAAACATAAAATGAAGAAACACAAAAGCACAGGAAGAAGAGACCCAAGTGATGGAAGATGGACTCTTCCCTGCGGGGGGCCCCAAGGCCAGGGGTGGATGGTGTGTGGGGTTGGGGATGGGCCCCAGACTGAGAACACTGCGGGGATGGGCCAGAGCAGAGGAAAAGCTCTCCAGGTGCTGGGCCCTGCTCTCTGCTGGTGCCTAAAAGCCTTCAAAACAGGGGCCAGAATTCCTCTCCCCCACAATCGCCTTTGGCTATAGGCCTAATCATTCCCCAAAGGCAGGCACACGCATGTGGTTTGGGAAATCTTGTCTTTCTTGAAACGTAAACATTGGAGCACACTTCCTTAGATTAACAAGGTCACCCCTAAAGCCACGGCAGCCTTTGAAGCGACTTGACTTCCTGGCACCCCTCTCCTTTCCCCCCAACCAACTCATATGTCCTGAAAACAAAAAACAAAAAACCCCAAACCTTGCTGAATGGCTGGGATTTGTTTTAGAGGTAACTCTTAGAGACTCTTCTGACACCCCTTGGAGATAACTGGCAACACTCTGGGGTGTTGCAAAACCTGACTTGGGAGGGATTGCCCTGATGGTCAGCAAGAGGACCAGGTCAAGGCTCCGGCCAAGTGGGACCTGCACTGCTGGCGCGGGGGGTGAGGGGAGAGGCTGGGCCTGCCCGGGGTGCACCCTGGGCACGGAAGGCATTTGCTTGGGAGCCACTGGCCAGCCCTGTTCGCGGGTGAGCACGGGGTCCCTGGGAGATGACATGGGTTCTTTTTCCTTGGGGATAATTTTAGGTCTTCACTTCGCCTCCAGTCTCTCCAACTCCCAGCCCCTGGCTCGGCCTCCCAGAGGGATTGCTGAGACCAGTGACTCGACAGGGTACTGTTGAAATATAGAGCTCTTCAAAAGAGACTTGCTAAGGCATGGCCCTGGAGGCTTTTTCCATGATATTTTCCCCCCTTTCTCCCATTGTTTCGGGAGAGGAAGCAAGATGGCTCGAGGATCAGGTTCTGGTAGGACTTAATAAGGGTATCAGATCTTCCTGCCCTTCAACTTGAACCTAGGGGCGTGTTTTTCAGTTTCATCTCCCCACACCCAGTTTGAGAGGAACTGGCTTAGAGACAGAGCTTGGCTGAGAACCAGCCTTCGGTCTGGGGGAGGGGAGCGGGGGGAAGAGGCCCTGGGCTTCTTAGGTGCGGGGAAACCTCTGATTTCGTTGTAGGAGAGATTCCAGCCGGCATTCAAGTGCCAGGCCTGTGGTGCCACACACTCTGAGATACAATGTGTGAAGTCCTCACCCTAATGTCTTCTAATTTTTAAAAGTTCGTGAATAAAATCTTCAGGGAAGTAGAGAAGACTTTGCCACGGCGATGGAAGATTTGTGGAGAGCTGGGAGTGATGGTGGATAAGCCTCAACCTGGAAGCCATTGATTCTTTTTTTTTTTTTTAATGTCTGCCCTGGGTCTCAGTCGTGGCAGGGGGGATCTAGTTCCCTGATCAGGGATCAAACCTGGGCTCCTTTCCATTGAGTGTGGAGTCTTAGCCACTGGACCACCGAGGAAATCTCATTCATTCTTTATTTTTGGCTGTGCTGAGTCTTCATTGCTGCTGGGCTTTCTCTAGTTGCGGTGAGCGTGGGCTACTGTTCCTTGCTATGCACCGGCTTCACGTTGTGCTGGCTTCCTTTGCTGCAAAGCACAATCTTTCGGCACACGGGCTTTAGTAGTTGCAGTCCTCGGGCTCAGTCGTTGCACCACAGTCTCGTTACTTGTCTCTCACGGACTCTAGAGAGTGGGCTCAGAAGATGCAGCCCAGGGGGTCAGTTGCCTGCATGTGGAATCTTCCCGGACCAGGGATCGAACCTGTATACCCTGCATTGGTAGGCAGCTTCTTATCCACTGTGTGTGTTAGTCGCTCAGTCGTCCGACTCTTTGCGACCCCATGGACTGTAGCCCGCCAGGTTCCTCTGTCCATGGGATTTTCCAGGCAAGAATACTGGAGTGGGTTGCCATTTTCTTCTCCAGGGAAATCTTCCTGACCCAGAGATCGAACCCGAGACTCCCGCATTGCAGGAGGATTCTTTACCATCTGAGCTACCAGGGTATCCACTGTACCACCAGAGAAATCCCCATTCACTCATTTTCAGCACAGTCGTTACAAGTGTTTAGAAGTGTTTTAAGAAAGGGGTCCATCTAGAAGTTTTCTCTGTGGAAATTGTGGGGAAGGGGCAACATGGAGTGGGGAAGACAGAAATGGAAACTCATAGCATCCTGGGCTCAGTTCAGAGGTCAAATTTAAGCTCAAAAGAGCAGGCAATCAAAAAGACTCCTAGAAAATGGAAGTTTTTTTTTGTTTTTTGTTTTGGTTTTTCCCAGTAGCTGAAAAGGGAAAAAAGAAAGAGAAAGAAAAGTTAGACTAGAATGACAGGGGAAGTAAGTGAATAGAAGGGTAGGGGCCAGATCTCATGGAAGGAGATCTTGGGAGAAGAAGCCGGTGTCTCTATAACTTAACTTACAGAGTCTCAGGGGAGGATGCCTGCGTGGAGGCGGGGCTGCTGTGGGTCCTCTCCTTTGCTTCCAGGGGGTTACCTTTCCCTCCAACACGGTAAGGGGGCGGGGGTTCTTCCTTCTCTGAGCGATGCTCCTGGACCTTCCCAGGAAATTGGTACAGAGTTCCAGAAAACCAGTGCCGCCAGAGCGCGGGGAGCTGTCAGAACACACGGCGTGACTTTACTCTTACGAATCTTACTGGGGGTTTGACTAATAGGGAAGTCGGGCGTCCATCTGGCTTCAGTCCCCACGGCTCGATTCCCCCTCCGGAGGCCCAGCGCGGAGACTATTGGCCGCTGCCCCTTTAAGGGCCGCCACTCCCCCACCCCCACCCCCTCCCCAGCGGTGGCACCCAAGGGGTGGGGGTGGCGGGGAGACTGTGCGTTCTAGGCCGGTCAGCTGGGGAAGATGACCCAGGCCGGGGGAATCGCTCCCACGCCCCGATGCCCCCTCCGCTGAGCAGGGTGAGCTGGGAGCCCCTTTCCCTCATTCCTTCCTGCCCCACGCGCGACGCGGGGATGGCTCCGTGGCCTCCCGGGAACAGCTCTCTGACCCCGTGGCCAGATATCCCCACCCTGGCGCCCAATACTGCCAACGCGAGTGGGCTGCCAGGGGTGCCCTGGGCGGTGGCGCTGGCGGGGGCGCTGTTGGCGCTAGCGGTGCTGGCCACCGTGGGAGGCAACCTGCTGGTAATCGTGGCCATCGCCCGGACGCCGAGACTCCAGACCATGACCAACGTGTTCGTGACTTCGCTGGCCACAGCCGACCTGGTGGTGGGGCTCCTGGTCGTGCCCCCGGGGGCCACGTTGGCGCTGACCGGCCACTGGCCCCTGGGCGTCACCAGTTGCGAGCTGTGGACCTCGGTGGACGTGCTGTGTGTGACCGCCAGCATCGAAACCCTGTGCGCCCTGGCGGTGGACCGCTACCTGGCCGTGACCAACCCGCTGCGCTACGGCGCTCTGGTCACCAAACGCCGCGCCCGAGCCGCCGTGGTCCTGGTGTGGGTCGTGTCCGCCGCGGTGTCGTTTGCGCCCATCATGAGCAAATGGTGGCGCATCGGGGCGGATGCCGAGGCTCAGCGTTGCCACTCCAACCCGCGCTGCTGCGCCTTCGCCTCCAACATGCCCTACGCGCTGCTCTCCTCCTCGGTCTCCTTCTATCTTCCGCTCCTGGTGATGCTCTTCGTCTACGCACGGGTTTTCGTGGTGGCTACGCGCCAGCTGCGCTTGCTGCGCCGGGAGCTGGGTCGCTTCCCGCCAGAGGAGTCTCCGCCGGCTCCTTCTCGCTCCGGGTCCCCCGGCCCGGCGGGGCCGTGCGCCTCGCCCGCGGGGATGCCTTCCTACGGCCGGCGGCCGGCGCGCCTTCTGCCTCTGCGGGAACACCGCGCCCTGCGCACCTTGGGGCTCATCATGGGAACCTTCACTCTCTGCTGGCTGCCTTTCTTCGTGGTCAATGTGGTGCGCGCCCTTGGGGGCCCCTCTCTGGTGTCCGGCCCCACTTTCCTCGCCCTTAACTGGCTGGGCTATGCCAACTCTGCCTTCAACCCGCTCATCTACTGCCGCAGCCCGGACTTTCGGAGCGCCTTCCGCCGCCTGCTGTGTCGCTGCCGGCCGGAGGAGCACCTCGCCGCTGCCTTCCCGCCCCGCGCCCCCTCCGGCGCCCCCACGGCCCTGAGCAGCCCCGCCGAGTCCAGGGAGCCCCCACCGCTCGACGGGTAGGTAATCAAGGCGAAGGGATCAGGAAGCTTTCTGTATCTCCTCTGGTCAATTTTTTTTGAGTTCGGGGTTCGGGAGGAGAAAATGGGGCTGGGGAGGGTCTTTGCAATCAAGAGAAGGGGGACACAGAAAGAGAAGGGGGGTACAGAGTAAATCAAAGAGGAACCCAGAGCCCTTTCTTTTCCCGTTTCCCACCCACCCTGCCCGGGGGGTGGGAGGGGGAAGCAAAGGAGGCTGGCGGGTGGTTCTCCAACCCAGGAAAAACAGTGCGCCCGGAGGTGCCGCGATGCGGAGGGCCCCCGGCTCGACCGCAGTG